TCGTCCTCTTTTGGAAGGCCAAACAAAGTAGTTTCGCTTTCACAACGAAACACAGCGTCTTCACGACATGGCAGCAGCAACAATACTACAGCGAGAACATTTACTTTACTGTACTTTACAATACTTTCTTTGCGTGCACATTTGGGCGGCGTTATGCAAATCTTCCCACATCGTGACGTAGACATGTGGGGGCGTGTTAGAACGAGTCGTTTTAGGTAGGCGTGATTGACTCTTAACTTTTATAAAGATTATCTCTTTGGATTTGAGACTTTAGTCTTTGCAACTTTACAGATCTTCTTTATGCACCAAGAGCTTGTAACAATTCAAAGAGAAAGGAAAAATTGAAATCGCATCATATGACCCCTTTAATTTTACATTTAATGTGTGATTGTTGATTAGCATTCCACCTTCCCTCGTGAACCCCTATTTGGGAAATCCTGCATGGTGGTGAGTTGTATAGGGCAAGAAAAAAGGAAAATGTATTTTCCGTTTCCAGAGCTGGGTATCAACTTTGACCACATCTGGCAGAAGACTCTGACTGTGCTGCACCCGCTGAAGGCAGCAGATGGCAGTATAATGAATGAAACAGACCTGGCTGGTCCCATGGTGTTCTGTTTGGCCTTTGCGGCGACGCTACTCTTGGTAAGACACATGTCTGTTTTGAATGTCTCTAGCCTAAAATTGTTCATCATTTTGTACTTCATAAATATATATATATATTTTAAATTAATGTAAATTCTAGCGGAATGATTAATGATAGAATATAAAGTAAAATGTTAAGAGTGCCAAACAAATATGTTTTTGTTCCTAATTTTAGACGGGTAAGATCCAGTTCGGTTACGTGTATGGTATCAGTGCCATCGGGTGCCTCGGCATGTACTGCCTGCTCAACCTCATGAGCATGACGGGGGTGTCATTCGGCTGTGTGGCTAGTGTTCTCGGTTACTGCCTGCTACCCATGATCATCCTGTCCAGTTTCGGGGTCCTCCTTTCCTTACAGTAAGATGTGTTTATATGATAGTATAAATAATTCATACAAATACACTACCTGTCTACACAAGTTTGGAATAATTGAGACTTTTTATGGTTTTAAAAAGAAGTCTTTTATGTTCAACAAGCCTACAAAAATACAGTAGAAGCAGGAATATTTTGACATTTTGTTACAATAGAAAAGAACTGTTTTCTATTTTAATATATTTTAGAATGTAATGTATTCCTGTGATGCAAAGCTGAAATTTAGAGTAATAGTTCTTTTTATTATCCATGTTGAAAAGTTTTTGCTGCTTAATATTTTTGGGGAAACCATGATGCGCATTTTTCAGGATTGTTTGTTGTATAGAAAGTTTAAAAGAACTTGTTTTTTTTTTAATGCAAATCTTTTGTAGCCTAATAAATGTATTTACTGTTACTTTTGACTTTTTTTGCATCCTTGCTGAATAAAAGCTTATTTTTTTTAATCTTACAACAAAATTTTAAATAATACTGTATCATGGTTTCCATATATATTAGGGCTGCACGATAAATCACATGCGATATTTAACGCGCATCTTGTCAGAAAAGCCAGTTCTGTAATCAGCGGCAAATCTCCATCACCTGCGGGCTTTCACATTGAGCAGCATTAACTACACAGAGCCGTTGTTCACTGACGAGCGGCGCAAAACCACGTTCATATTTGCGAGATTTTTTGCGCAGCCCTAATATATATATATATATTATATATGTCGTTATATATTATATATATATATATTGTTGCTGTTGTTTTTTGCTATAATAAATGCAGCCTTGATGAGCATAGAAGATTTCTTTCAAAAACATTCCAAATCTTAATTCCATACTTTTGACTGGTGGTGTGTTTTAATGCATAACGTAAAGTGTTAAACATATGTATTAATATCAATTAATAATCCTATAATTTATATGAATATATATCGCAGTTCCATCATTTTAATCTTATTTGAGCTGGTTTATAATAAACCTTAAACAAGTGTTTTCCTGTGTCTTTCAGGGGCATGTTGGGTATGATTTTAACTGCTACCATCATTGGTTGGTGCAGTTTTTCAGCCTCTAAGATCTTCATCTCTGCTTTGGCCATGGATGGGCAGCAGCTGCTGGTGGCGTATCCCTGCGCCCTGCTGTACGGAGTCTTTGCCCTCATCTCTGTTTTTTGAACTCTCAACCTCTTTTAATGGACAAAATGACCACCAGTACGCAACCTTTTATTTGAGGACTGCTTTTGTAACACCCCCTCTCACTGAGTGTTTCCAGTGTTCATCATGTTCTGAGAGAATGTGGATTTAATTTCTCCTGCAGTTTTTTTTTTTTTTTTTACCTGCCCACCTACTCTGAGAAATATTCTTGCTTACATAATGCAGGTTAAAATTTGATTCTTGTTCTTTAATGTGGACCACATTCTATTGTTCTTTCCAAAATAGTTTTCTTTAACAGAGCCAGTAAGTGGGTTTATTGAAGAGAAGAATGTGTAATCAGTGCAGAGGGCACACCTCTCTTCCTACACAACATCTTTTTAATGCTTTTGTGTTTCAGGCAAGCATCTCACTCCAGAATATTCTTTGCAAACTACAGTAGTAATTCTTCTTTCTTGAAACTGTTTTTCATTACATTCCTGATTTGCTGTTGATTTGTTCGGTCTGTGTTCGTTCATACACTTGGGTCAGTAAGAGTGCCTACATGTTCACACATTTTCACACTATATTCTATCATGCACTAGGCAAATTAAACAAAACAAAACAAAAATCACCCTTTGTGCATCTTTTGCAAGCCTATTTAAAGCTATATTGCAGCCAAAATAAAAAATGCTTTATTTACTCACTTTTTTCACCTGTATGACTTGCTTCTACATCCAATTTTGATGATATATATGTATGTGTATATATATATATATATATATATATATATATAATATGCATGTGTGTGTACACACACACACTTTACATGCTTTTAACATCAAAATTTGATGAATGAGTAATTGATGACAGTCTTTATTGGAAAGTTTTTCAAATATTCTTCATATTTAAGACTTTAATGCAGACTGCTGCCAGTTTTGTGAGTCGATTTGTTCTGAATGCATTTCACCCACTAACATCTAGAATCTCGAGTCTGCAGATCAGTGTTCTGTAGAGTGAATACTGATGGCTGGATTTTGTTTCCATTTCTAATTTCTAATTTTTCACACATTTATCTTTTGAAATACATGAGGCAGAGCCCAGGTTAAGCGTCGTTCGAAATTCGAAATGAAGAGTCAAAATGACGGAACAAATCTTTCTGACCTGTGGACTGTATGTTTGGGCTTTTTGTTCATTTTAAGGTGCCACGACTGTCCTCTCGGATAGAGAGTTATATTTATACACAAGGTAACTTTGTTTTGTATATCCAGATGAGTACAAATGTTTCTATCAATCCTGTCTTGTGGAAAATCTGTGAGCAACTTGGTAGGGTGTTACACTTGTGCTGTTTCATGGGCTGTTTTAATGAAATAAAACTGCAACTTTTGATTGAACATTCTTTTGTTGAACTACCCATGTCCTCATGCTTTAAAAGTG